TGCTCCTCCAGCCGCTGTAACTCCCTCTCCTCTCTCTCCAACGCCAGCTGATCGTCACGGGCACGGCGAACACGAGCCTGGTGCCTAGTCGGGTAGGGGTGGGGGGGCGGAGTAGTGTCCGAAGCAGCGGCAGCTCCAGAGTCCACTCCAGAAGAACTAGGCTCACCACCCCCAGAGGCAGCACTAACACCAGCTCCAGACCCAGGCTCACCTGAACCCAAAGGAGGCGCACCCTCACCCCCAGACGCAGCACCCCCAGTGTCCGCGCGGCCAGCACCAGCTCCCGGACGACAAGCGTCCTCTGCACCCACCTGGTCAGCTCCAACTCCAGAACCAGAAACTCCAGCTCCAACCCCAGCTCCAACTCCAGCACCCCCAGAACCAGAAACTCCAGTGCCAACTCCAGCTCCAACTCCAGATCCAACTCCAGCTCTAACTCCAGCACCCCCAGAACCAGAAACCGGTACAGGAACAGGCGTCGCACCAACCTCTCGAGAGCTAGCACCAGCGGCACGCTGCGAGGAGGACTGTGGGGAGGGAGGCTGTACCGGAGGGGCTACCGAAGGAGGAGGGGTAGCCTGGGACACACCTGACGGGGCTGGACCAGGGGGGGGAGGCTGTACCGGGGGAGCAGGAGGGGGAACGGCAGTCAGGAAGAGGGGGGGAGGAGGAACCGGGAGACCTCGACTGGGGTACCTGACGTAGTACGGAGTGGACTCCTCGAAACGGACGTCACGGGAGTCAAAGAACCGGTGAGAGGGAGGGTGGTAAAAGGTGAAGTCAGAGGAGTCCTCAGGGAAACCAAGGAAGACACAGGGGACGGCACGAGGCGAGAGCTTGTCCGCGGAGGTGTCGCGGACAAGAGCCAAGCACCCCCAGACACGAAACCGCGACGCAACACCAGGGAACCCTGTCCAAAGACTGGTCGGTGAAACCTCTGGTCGAGAGACACGTGGCCAGAGGTTCAGCTGGTGCGCGGCGTACCTGACCGCGTAGGGCCACAGAAAATGGGGGGCACAGGCGTGAGTCAGGGAGGTGCGGGCGATCTCCATGACCAGGCCTATGCGGCGCTCAGCAACCCCATTCTGCTGTGGGGACTCTGGAAGCGTCCAGGACTGACGAATGCCCTGCTCGCGACAGAATCCAGCGAGAATGCCGGAGCGAAACTCACCCCCACGGTCGGAGTGGAGACAGCTGACACGACGACCACGAGTGTCCTCGGTGGTGAGCAACCACCTGATCAGCGTAGAAGTCACCTCAGACTTCTTCGCCAGAGGGAACACTGTGGTGTAGCGGGAGAAGTCGTCAACGACCACCAGAAAGTAACGCTCACGCTCAGGGCCTAGACGAGGGGCTGGGCCCCAGACGTCCAAGTGAAGCGTCTCAAAAGGCTCGGTGGCCGGACGAAGGGAGGAGGAGTGAGGGGTGGCGCGCAGCCTACCCTCGACGCAGGGACGACACGGCGGCGCAGGCGAAGGCGGCAGCGACGGCAAGACACGTGGGAGGCCTAGGACAAGACGCTGACTAGACATAGCGCGCAGACGTGGAAGGGACGGGTGCCCCATCCGGTGGTGCCACAGAACGGTGGGGTGGGCAAGCGACCGGCAGGAGCACGACGCAGCGACTGGAACAGACGGAGGAACCTGACACGACACAGACACCTGGGGGGACGTAGCAACCTGGTGAGACGCGGGGACCCGAACGGGGGGGGGAACCGGGGGCAGTGGCAGTAGGGGGGGCTGCTGGTGCGGCCGCTGGTGCTGCTGCTGCTGCTGCTGCTGCGGCTGCGGCTGCTGCTGCTGCTGCGGCTGCTGCTGCGGCGCACGCGGGCCAGTGTGAAGAGTGTAGAGACCCGAGCCCGGCTCAGCAGTAAAGGTAGCAAGAGGCTGGTAAGAGTCTCCGTCAACACACACCGCAGTCTCTCCAGAAGGCTCAAACCACACACCCACGTGCTGGCTCACGAGGGGTCGCACGCCCACCAAGTTCCGGGAGAACGAGGGGACGTGAAACCCAGTGAGAGACCCGGAGGGAGCAGCAGGACACGGTAAAGTGGTAGTGTGACGTGCAGTGACTGGTCCCGTAGTGGGATCAGCCAACGCTACAGAAACAGGCGCAGGAAGTGGTGTAAGTGTCGTGCTGTCCCGAAAGAAGCAGTGGGAGGCTCCAGAGTCCAGTGTGAACGACAGCGAAGCGTCCTCTGAGGTAGTCGCTGGTCTAGAGTCTACACAAGTACCTACACTAGCAACAGGCAACTCAGCAAGACTAGCACCTAAGCTAACAACACCAGAGTAAACAGAGTCAGAAACACTAGAGTCAACAACAGCATACATAGCATGAGGAGCACTAATCAGATCAACTAACTGCTCAGCAGACATGCCCCACAGAGCGGAGCCGTAGCGCTGAACCAGAGGAAGCCAGTCAGGAGCAGGACCGCCAACCCCGTAGGTCAACCGGACCGTGTCAGTGAGCTGAGCAAAGCACTGACCAGGGGGGTGAAAGCGGCCACAAGGGTGGCCCCGACGAGGACCTGTCTGAACCTGGTAGGGGCAGGGAGGGTAAGCAGCACCGCGCTGGGGCTGACGCAGCCCCGACCCCGGAGCCAGCTGCTGACGCTGCTGCTGCTGAGGCTGCTGGGAGGAAAGGGGCTGCTGCTGCTGCTGAAGGTGCTGCTGACGCTGAGCCTGGTACCACGCCGCTGCTCCACCTAGCGGGGCCGACAGTACAGGAGGCGACTGACGAGCTCGAGGGTCGCTGCCACCAGCAGGTGCAGTGGAGTCACCGGCCGCTGCACGAGGGGTCTCTCCAGACGCTGCACTCCCACCACCGCCAGTCGCAACAGCACCCCCACTACCTCCGCTACCTCCGCCTCCACCTCCACCGGAACCACCTTTCTTGCCCCCCCTGCCGCGGGACCGCGACGCAGTCGTAACAGCAGCCGCAGTCGCGTCAGTAGCGGCAGTGGCAAGAGAGGCAGTGAAGGTGGGTAACTGCGGGACTGTGCACCCGTGGAAGAGTGGGGGGGATACAGTACCAGAGGCGGCAGCTACCGAACGAAGGTTGCTCTCGACATCCTTGAGTGCAGACTCAAGGACCTCGATAGTCAGCTCACTAGGGTGCTTCAGCAGAAGCGCGTCACGAACGGAGGCAAGGCGGTCAGGGAGGCTAGTGGCGATGAAATAGACAGTAATCGCCATGGGGGGAGGAAGCAGTGCAAGCTGTGCCTCAGTGCAAGCAGCGCGGTAACTAGCGTCAAGCGAGCGGAGGTGAGCGATCAAGTCAGCAGAGCGCTCAAACGAGGCAAGATCAGGAAACAGGAACGGGAGGAAAAGACGGCCGAGAGAGACAGTAGCGGGAGTAGAGTAGCGGGCCTTAATCGCAGTGAGGTACGCAGCAGCGGTGCGAACCTGAGTAAAGTGGACCTCCTCGGACTCAGGGAGGAGGCTGCTGAGTGCGATGCAGGCCGCAGCGTCACGCGACGTCCAAGCCGTCCGGTCAGCGCGCTGACGGGCAAAGCGAGCCGTAGCAGCATCGTCAGGAGCAGGGCCTAAAGCTGTAGGCTCGGGGGGCTCGGGGAGGTCACCAGTAGCGTGTGACCAGAGGGTCTCGCCCCCCTGGACCTGACTCTCTAACAGACGACGAGCGCGAAGAAGCCAGACGGAAAAGTCAAGGGGTCTACCGTCGGCGTCGAAACGAAGAACTCGCGGAGTCGCCATAGTGAGAACGAACAGGCGAGTAACAACCGGGGGGGGAAGAGGACTCAGTCGCAGCGGAAGAGTGGGCTAGGACGACGGGCCAAGACGTAGGGTAGGGCAACGGGCCAGGGCCTAGGGTAGGGCGACGGGCCAGGGCCTAGGAAGGGCGACAGGCCAGGGCCTAGGGAGGGCGACGCGACGGGGGAAAGGTCAGGGCGACGCGACGGGGCAGGGCGACGCGACGGGACAGGGCGACGCGACGGGGCAGGGCGGCGCGACGGAGCAGGGCGACGGGACAGGGCAGGGCGACGCGACGGGGTAGGGCGACGCGACGGGACAGGGCGACGGGACAGGGCAGGGCGACGCGACGGGACAGGGCAGGGCGACGCGACGGGACAGGGCGACGCGACGGGACAGGGCGACGGGACAGGGCGACGGGACAGGGCGACGGGACAGGGCGATGTGACGGGACAGGGCGACGGGACAGGGCGACGGGACAGGGCGACGTGACGGGACAGGGCGACGGGACGGGGGGGGGTAACAGGCAGGCGCGACGCGACGGGGGGAACGGGCGCGACGCGACGGGGGGGAACGGGCGCGACGCGACAGGGGGAACGGGCGTGACGCGACGGGGGGGGGAACAGGCGTGACGCGACGGGGGAGATGACGCTAGGCTCGGTACTAGGCGCGGTAACTACGAAACTGGTACGAACGAGAGGTAGGATCAGGCTCGGGAGGTACGAACGGAGAACGGAGGAACGGGATCCCACAGGATCCTAACCTAGCTGATACCATGTCAGAATGAGGAATGAGTGTTGCATTGATGTTGGTTGGGGTACATATGACAAACCCTAACTTCTGTACCCCCTAAGACAAACCTCACTACAGGCTACAACATTTGACACATGCTTAGGGCGCGTTCCTACGCTCTTATCAGGCAAACCTTTTGTCAGTCTTGCTTGGGGAAAGTAGCGAGGGTTTTCGGGTTTAGGGAATTTTCAGTGTGTTTTGACACGAGCTTGATAAGAGGTTGGCCTGATAAGGGGCCGTAGGAACACACCCTTCGGGATTCATAAGGACAATACATGTTGTGATTGTGATGTGAGCGGGGAAAATAACACACCATCAAGCCAACCAACCGACCAACCACCAGCATTGTTAGTTGGCAACTCCTGCAAGTTGTGCGAGCTACCATCTTCTAGTCTGGATTTTATTAGATGAAAAAAGGTGAGTGTCCCACAAGCAGTCGTCACCAAAACCTCCTTCCTATGTTTTCCGAGTCAACTCAAGCCGCTTCCCTTACAAAATCTATTTCTCTGCAGCCTTAGCCTTGTTGTAGGCCTCCAGCTCAGCAGCATAGCGCACCTTGTCCTTCTGAGACAGTTGCTCGTACTTTACCTTGTCACCAGCTGCACGGGGGAATGGGACGGAGGGGTACACAAGGGGGTGAGTGCGATACAGTGGGGGAAGGGCGAGGAGGAAAACACTTAGTCCTGTCCTTCTGAGACAGTTGCTCGTACTTCACCTTGTCACCAGCTGCACGGGGGAAAATGACGGAGAGAGGACAGAAGGGTGACTGGAAATGATGAGGTCCTGTCCTTCTGAGAAGCTGGCTCTTCACCTTCACTTTAACTTGTTTTGTGACGTCTCGAAGCTTGCTATCAGCTCACCTTGTCACCAGGTGTGAAGAAGAGAGGAATGGACGGGGGAAAGAAGGGGTTGACGTGGGGGGAGAGGGACGGTGAGAACTTTGCATGTCTTTCTGAGAAAGCTTGCAGGAAACGGAGGGAAATGATGGGCGAGAAAAGTGGGTAGAGGGTGGTGGGCTTGCGGTGAGGGAGGGGAGGCGGGGAGAAAGAGGGAGCGGGGAGGTGGACGGGGGGTGGTGGGAGGAGAGGAAGGTGGGAGAAATGATGGGGAGTGGGACGCGTACGGCAGCAATAGTGAGGTCAGAGGAAGGGGGAGGGGATGGACATACGGCTGGTGGTAAGGGAAACGAGGAAATAGAAAGGTGATGTTGAATTTCTGAAGGCACTGGGACATTCTTGGTTCGGGAAATGGACCTAGCTGTAAGATTCAGACACTTTTTGCCAATAACCTGACTGAAAAATTTATGCATTTTCGCCAATGTCCTACCTGCTAGGTTTCGCCACCGTTCGCCAATGACCCTGCCCACATCGGCGAAAGCTATGTCGGGCTTCTCGCGAATCACTTTCTGTCGCACAAACGAAAAGGGAAATTCGCGGAAATGCACTGGAAGGAGAACTCGGAGAGAGGAATGCCGGAAATATATAGATGCACGAAATTCATGGGGAGAAAAACAGATGAATTGCTGATTCAGGAGATCAACGGATAGCCATAGAAGAGATGGACAAGGAGTCAAATCTGTGGGATAAAAGATAAAAAGACCAGCAAACAACGCCATAGAAAAGGTGGACGAACCGAAACAATCACAACCATGGTGACAAAAACTAGCTAGATGACAACGACAGCGGTGTAATCGAATCCGAAAGCACGAGACGGCGCCACGCACAGCTATATTGGTGTTACTTTTGAGAAATCTCAAAAGCAACACCAATCTAGATGAAAACAACAGCGATGCAGTTGAACCAGAACGCACGAGAGAGCACACGCACAGGTCGCTTTTCAGTCGTGACGCCCATTTAAGAGGACATGGGTCGCTAAGAACAGTCGGGTGTGTTGCGAGTCAATTTAAAATACACAAGACCACACGCACAGGTCGCTCATGAGTCGCAAAGACTATATACGCCGACATAGGTCGCTTAGGACTGTCATCCTTGGGTTTCCGCGTCGCCTTCGGCTTCTCGCCTCCCGCCTTTCCAGCTGACGCCGCTTTCTCGCCTCCGGCCTTTGCGGCGAAGCATCGGAGCGCGGTTCCGGCGATTTCGGAGGCAGATCCGGGCGATGCGCGGGAGAAAGCGAGACGGAAAATGGTTTGGGGAGTCGCCATAGCGTGAAGCATGACAGGTGTGAGTATAGCGAGGGCACACAAGCGTCGTATGCGGAAAGCCGCGGATGATGCGAGGCGGTAGATTTAGAGATAGGAGATGAGATAGTAGAGTGGCAAGTCGACGACGGGAATTTGTCGGAAGCGGCTGACGACGGTTAGAGACCGTTGATGCCAACAAGAAGCGATGTGCAACCGTCGATGCGGAGTGGGTTGGATGCGATTTGGGATAAATGGCGGGAGGGGAGGAGGTGGGGTGGGACCAGGGGAACTGAACTGACGGAGGCAAGTGGCTGGAAACGAGGTGGTTTTTAGGGGGGGTCCAGCTCGTACATTTACTGTTCGTAAACCCCCTCAGTTACCACATTTTTTGTGGTAACCCTTTATCGAACGTGTCCAGCGGACACAATCAGCTTCTGTTCGCAAGACGGCACGCCCCATGCACGTACCTAGAGTCGTCTGACTCACGTTACTGGAATCAGCAGGGACGCGAACAAGGGTACAGCACCGCGTCCTGGCCACTACAGCTCGTTTCCCTTGTATAGCTTGCACGATTTCGTCAGTGGTTCGCTCTACTCGACAGCGCCCCCTGCGCCTGCACAAAAATTTTCAAGCTATGATTGACGAGGGAAACTGTTACCTCGTTTTCAACGTTGTCAGAGCACTGCTGATTCGTGTGGCGGGGGATGTGTCCGCGCTTCTGAAATTACAGGATGGTTGGACTCCACTCACAATGCATTCGTTTCTAGGTACGGTAGTCATTTTTGAACCTCGATACGTGTGCTGGCACGAAAAATCCCGAAATGAACGAACTGGACACGCCCTTAGTATGGTAGGGAGAGTCTACATTCCCGAGGTTCTCTCGACATTGCCAAGGGCCTCAAGGGTGAGGATTTGCGTTGGGAATGCAATTCGCTATATGCAATGAAATGGCAATTCCAAACAAAGCTTACCTGTATGTCTGACTTGTCTCACAAGCCCAAACTAAACTAACATGGAAGTGGGCTATACCGTAGCCTAGCCGCATGCTGGATCACAAGTTTAATTACCATAAACATACCTCCGGGCACCCTAGAATAAAGATACCGCAAGGCTTCTTAAATAGGCCTACATGACCAAACACCTCACTGGGTCCGATCCTATGTCCAAGATTACTCATCAGTGTCAAACACAGTCCACCCCCTCTATAGGTAGTCATCAGGATCACCTTTAAGCACATCGGATGCAAGGCGAGGCTCTCTTCCTAATGCGTAAAGAGGCTCCTCTGATGACGTAGCCCCCATTTCAAGAAACTTGTCACGCTCCGATTCATCAAGAATCTGATCGCCGCCTTTAGTGATGTACACTACAGATGTGATGAGCAGTACAAGCACACCCATTACTGCCACGCCTGCTATCACCCAGACGACCACCCCCAAGCCTTGAGGTGCAGGTGCCGTGTGAACTGGAAGGGAGGGAAGTGGGCACAGGGGAAGAGGGAGGAAGGAGGGAGGAAGGAGAGAGGACGGAGAGAGGCAGGAGGTGAGAATATGTTGGAAAGCATGTGGGACTGAGGTTCACATTTCATCCCAGAAACTCAAGGATAGCACGTACTCTGACTCGTTTTAGGCCTTGCAATCCAATAGGTACTCTATCGGCACTTACAATCACGCCCGTATTGCCAACAGAAACAACCCCCCCCCTCTTCCCCCCCCTTGGACAGGAAAGAACCAGGAACTTTAACCCAGCTCACCATCTCCCGTGCTCATCCCATGTCCCGGACACACGCAGGGCATGAAAGCCCCAGATCCACTTTTCCCTTGGGACTCGTTACTCAGCTCAACACAGCTCAACCAAGTCAACCCAGCTCAACCAAGTCAACCCAGCTCAACCCAAGTAAACCCAGCTCAACCCAAGCAAAACCCAGCTCAACCCAAGCAAACCCAGCTCAATCCAAGCAAACCCAGCTCAACCACTAAACTCACCGTCTCCCGTGCTCATCTCCAGGGGTCTCAAACACGCAGGGCACGAGAGCACAAACGAGAGTGTCCTGTTTAGGTCCCGCCAGTCAGCTCAACCCAGCTAAACCCAGCTCGACCCAACTCAACCTCTCATCTCACCATCGCCTGTGCTCATCTCCAGGTCTCGCACGCAAGCAGGGCACGAGAGCACAAACTCCAAAGTGCCTTTTGGGTCCGCCAGCAGCAGCTCCCCAAAGCCCGTAGAACCACTCAGCCCAACACACACGGAATCAACTCACCGTCTCCTGTGCTCATCTCCAGGTCTCGCACGCAAGCAGGACATGAGAGCACAAACTCCACAGTGCCCTTTGGGTCGGCCAGCAGCAGCTCCCCAAAGCCCGCGGCACCGGGGGCGGGCGAGTGGCCCTTGGGGGCGGAGAAGTTGGATTCGCAGAGCGGGAAGAGCAGGTAGGGGCTGTCTGCTATCCACCCCTTCTCGTACATGCCGCATGACTTGCACCCGCCACTGTCCATTTGGAATAGCGGCTGGGATGTGGGAGGGAGACGGAAAAGGAAGGGGAAATAGAGCAGGTATGGGCAGAGGCAGAGGGGAAGAGCAGGTAAGGAGGAGAAGAGCAGGCAGGGGCTGTCTACGATCCACCCCTTCTCATATATGCCACACGACTTGCACCCGCCACTGTCCATTTGAAATAGCGGCTGGGATGTGGGAGGGAGACGGCAAAAGAAGGGTAAATAGAGCAGGTAAGGGCAGAGGCAGAGGGGAAGAGCAGGTAAGGGGGAGAAGGGAGCTGTCTGCGATCCACTCTTCTCGTATATGCCGCATGACTTGCACCCGCCACTGTTCATAAGAAAGAGCAGCTGGGACGGGAAGGGGGGTAGCAAAGGGAGGGTAAAAAGAGTGATTTGTGTCGACTCAGGACATAAGTCCTCTGTCCAACCAGCTTCTATGATAATACATACTGCCATACAACCTTCTTTGAGATATTTACGTGAAAGGAGGGTGTTTTTGAGACGTCTCAAAAAGCTCCCATGAGAATACATACTGCCATACAACCCTCTTGAGATGTCTCAAAATTTGTCCCCCTACCAACCACCTCGCATGATCATACATACTGTCACACCTGCCAATGATCCTTCCCCTCCACCTCACTTGCCGATCCTCCTTCCCCTCAGCCTCAACTGCCAGTCCTCCTTCCCCGTGAGGTTGACTTGCACGTTGAGCGGCGGTGAGAAGAGCAGGTCGGAGCGGTTGCCATCAGCCCTCACCAACCACCCACCACCTCCCATCACCACACAATACCACTGCTACAGCACTCCCCTCAGCCTCACCTGCCAGTCCTCCTTCCCCGTGAGGTTGACTTGAATGTTGAGCGGCGGCGAGAAGGGCAGGTCGGAGCGGTTGCCATCAGCCCTCACCAACCACCCACCACCTCCCATCACCACACAATACCACTGCTACAGCACTCCCCTCAGCCTCACCTGCCAGTCCTCCTTCCCCGTGAGGTTGACTTGAATGTTGAGCGGTGGCGAGAAGGGCAGGTCGGAGCAGTCGCCATCAGCCCTCACCAACAACCCACCACCTCCCATCACCACACAATACCACTGCTACAGCACTCTCCTCAGCCTCACCTGCCAGTCCTCCTTCCCCGTGAGGTTGACTTGGATGTTGAGCGGCGGTGAGAAGGGCAGGTCGGAGCGGTTGCCATCAGCACAGAGGAGGAAGACCTGCGGGAGGAACACCCAGTTGATGTGCTTGTGCAGCGTGATGCTCGTTAGAGTCACATTCGCAACAGCTGCCAACCGGGGAGGCGGGGGATGTGGAAAACAGGAAAGAGGAGTGAGGAGAAAGAAATTGAGAGGCTGACTGAACAAGTCGGAGTGATTGCTGTCAGTACAGAGGAGGAAGACCTGGGGGAGAAACACCCAGTTGATGTGCTTGTGCAGCGTGATGCTCGTTAGAGTCACATTCGCCACAGCTGGCAACAGTGGGCGGTGGGTGGGGATAGACGGAAAGCAGGGGAGAGAAGTGCGGAGAAGGAAATTGTTGAGAGGCTGGAGGCTGAACAGGTCAGAGCAGAGCGGCACGGCAGCCATCGGCGACGTCATAAAAGTTGAGTTTTGGGCGTCTCAACTCAACACTCAACTTCCATCCCGTGGCAATTGTTGAGAGGCTGGAGGCTGAAGAGGTCAGAGCAGAGCGGTGGCCATCGGTGCAGAGGAGAAAGACTTGAGGGAGAAACACCCAATTGATGTGCTTCTGCAGCGTGAGGCTCGTTAGAGTCACATTCGCCACAGCAGAAATGGGAAAGGGAGGGTGGAGTGGGTGGTTTGGAAGAGGGGAGAGAAGAGAGAGATGCGGGGTGTGGGAGGTGAAGATGGAGGGAGGAAGAGGGGGGAGAGAAGGAGGGGTGGTGGGGAGGGGGGGAGACGGAGAGGGGGAGGGGTGACAGGAGAGAGACACGCGTACGACCACGGACGGAGCACGTAGTTGAACCGCTTCGCGTGCGCGGGAAGATCGATGCTAGGGTTATAATCGCTACGGCCTCAGCCTGGGTTTTGAGACGCCTCAAAACGCGCGGCGATCGATGCTAGGGTTGTAATCGCTACAGCCTCAGCCTGGGAGGGGAAGGGGGGAAGGGGGGGGGGGGGGGGGGGGGGTGGGAGCTGGGGAGGAGATTGAGGGTAGATGTTAACACCGCCATCTTGACACGCTTAGGAACGGGAAATTGGCCGCCATGTGGACCAATCGAAGAGCGACGGACACTCACCCGCCACGTGGACCACTTGCATGATTGTAACGAGGATCGCGAGCGCGGCTCCTCCTGTTCGCAGTAACCCACGCGATTCCGCCATGTTTTGCGCTGGGACTTGCACGATCGCTGAGAGCTTCGACGAGTTTAATAATTCAGGGTGGGTGTGTTTTGGCACTTCTTTCAGGACAAGGAGCTGAGGCGTTTCGAAGCACCCCAACGGCTCGCGTAAAGCGCGGAGATCCTGTCCTAATTCTCAGCCGTGGGGTGACAAAATAACGGGTAGGTTGTAACGAGTCCAACTCAATCAGCCTAAGAGGTGAGCCGTTGAGAAGCAGGCGAGCTCAAGAGGCACTCGTGACTAGCAATTAACAAATATGCACTCGCGAAGAATTATCGAGGCGCCGCGAAGAAGCCGTCCCGGAGGGACCTATGGACCGACAAACTCAGAATGCGTTAGGTCATTACGCTACGCTAGGGGGAACGGGCCGCAGATTGCGATGTCAGCACGTAATTCAGGGGAGCGACCTAGATCCGCATCGTACCGCAGGAAAGAATAAATAGCATACCACTCCAGAGGTATGTTATGTACTCGCAAATGTGGGGCCCATAGGCTAGATACTGAGCACTTTTTGGGAGTACGGTAGTATGGCTGCTGCGATGATGTGATTCTTTGTGATGGTCTGGTTCTGTGGTTTGGTTCTGAGGTCTGGTGGAGGTTTGGCTGTGTGCGAGGAGATTAGGCTTTCGCGAACCTCTGGCGCAACCTCGGAAAATGTTCGGGTATGGAGCTGCATTTCCCGAGGTTCTGGTAACAATTCCGAGTTTTGCTTTTCTTGTCGGTGAGGGGGTACGGTTCATTTGTGGTTCAGTCCGAACGGAGTAGACGGGCTCGTTGAGTTCACTGTACAGTGTAGCCTGACCAAGTTCGTTTTGTGACTACATCGAAGAGAGGTGGAGGTTGTAAGTGTGGACACCAGTTGCAGGCAGGTGCATCGCTGACGCGGCGTCACCGAATCAGGAAATCACAGATGCTTGTGCCAAACCAGTTCATCCAGTTCAGCCCCTTCTGAAAGCGTCCCATCGCTTCTTCCACACCACACCACACCCACATACATACCCCTCCTCAGCAGCAGCACCAGCAACTCCCCCCCACCCTGGAATTGATCGCTTCACGCATATCGTAGATTCCTAAAAAATCAACCACATTCACCAGCCTACTCCACAGTTGCTGCTGGTCTGTCAACCCTAATCTTCTGCTTTTGAGTCATGACCTCGCGGCACGGCCAACGAGCCGCGAAGCCTTCACCGTACAACCAAGCGAGTGAGGCTGAACTTGCATCTCGCGCCGCGCTTCCGCCAAGCGCCTCGGACCTCCATTCCCTTCCCCCGTCCGCCGTTCCCGCCTCCTCCGCGCACGTTAATGCGCGTCGAGCCGCCTCGGCGTCGGCCGTCACTACCCTCGGTGGTGCTTCCAATGGGCTACGCGCGAGGAGCCGCAATGGGAGCTGGAGCTTTCGACGCAACGGCGTCAAACGCGGCGGTAGTCAAGGCAGAAGTCCCAGCGGTATTCACGGCGACATTTACGGCGGCAGCGACGGCGGAATCAGCAGCGGCATCAGGAGCCTTAGCGGCCTGTCCGGGATATTCGGAAAACGGCGCGACACGCTCCCAGACAGCGGTCCTCTGAGGCCCTCGTTTCACGGTGGCATGGTGCGGCTCGTGTCGCATAACTTTCCGGATATTCCGCTCGAGGAAATGAAATCCGACGCGCTTTGGGGAAAGACCTGGTGGTGGTTCGGACGAGTATTGGATCCGCGTACAACGCGTATGAAGCGATGGATGAGATTCGTCGCCTTGGTTCACTCGGCATCGCTAGCCGTTGATCCTTGCTTCCTATACCTAATCTCTTATAGTCCGGACGTATCGTGTCTATTTTTGGAGACGATTTTCTCGATAGTCCTCATGGTGCTTCGGAGCGCGTGTGACTTGGTTTTCCTGGTGGATGCGTTTCTGTCGTTGCGCACGGCTTACGTGTCGAAAGAAGCTATAGCGAGGGGGCACGGCAGCGAAATGGTGACCAATGCGAGGAAGATCGCGCGGTCCAGGTGTTCCTTGGGCGGGGTGGTCTTCGATATTATCGCGACCTTGCCGATTCCGCAGGTGGGCGTGGGCATGATTGGTGGGTTGGTTGAGGCAAATTTGAATCTGCAGTATATCAATGTAAGTTGTAACGTCACTACAGTAGAGAAATTATTTTTCTCTACTGTACAGGGCTGAGGGAAGCTGGGTAACTTTGCAATGCTGACGTTTGTGCTTCACTTGAAAGAAGGTTTGCTATCCACCCCTCCGCTTTCCCCTCCCTTAATGTTTCCAGGTATTTGTGTGGGTGATTGCCCCCATGCTAATCCAAATGGACAAGGCTTCATACGAGTTTTCTACAGGCGGCGTCACTATAACCTTCAGCGCCATCATTCTACAGTACGTGCTGAAGCTGATTCTCGCCGCCCGGTTCACCGTGCGAGCGCAGCGGGTCAACGGCTACATCTTTGGCGCGGCGTGGTGGGGCTTTGCGCTGAACTTCATCGCATACATAATTGCTGCTCATGTGAGTCAAGTCAAGCAAGGTCGTTCTTAAGATTTGTCGTGCAGTGCAGTGGAGGTGTAGTGAGTAAGCAGTTGCATCTTTGGTGTCGCATTTCCATGGGGTGGGGGGGGGGGTGGGGCTGCGGTTTCACGTCGAATCTCGTGGCCTACATCTGTGTCAACCATACATGAGTTTGGAAATCCGTGAATTTGACTTTTGTGTCGACGCAAAAGTAATCTCGTGGCTTACATCTGTGTCAACCATGAGTACGGGAATGCGTGAATCTGAAAATCCGTGAGTCCGGGAATGTGTGAGCTTGTTAATGTTCACTTTCCCGTCTCCCCTTCTCCCCTTTACCCACCACCCTCCCCTCCCCCCCCATTCCCTCTGGCCGTCACCTCCCACCCCGCCAGGTCTTCGGCTCCCTCTGGTACCTGCTGGCGTCTGAGCGAGTGGCCACGTGCTTCCAGACGCTGTGCCAGCAGGTGAATAATAGGACATACAGGTGAGGGAGATTGCACGCAGGTGAGAGACTGAGAGGCTAGGATGGCGTACAGACAGGTGAGGGGCTGAGATGCCATGCAATGAAACCGCTCCCTCTGGTACCTGCTGGCGTCTGAGCGAGTGGCCACGTGCTTCCAGACGCTGTGCCAGCAGGTGAGTAAGAGGGGACAAGCAGTTGAGGGGACAAGCAGGTGAGTGAGTGAGAGGATATGCGGGAAGGGTGGACGAGGAAGGGCGGGAGGGGCGGACGGGTGTCGTCTATAGGCTTCCCAACGCCTTGCATTCACTCAACATTCCTGCATTACATTGGTTGCAGGTTGTTTTTTAGAATTCTTAAAAAGCATTGCATTTACAAACCGCTCCCTCTGGTACCTGCTGGCGTCTGAGCGAGTGGCCACGTGCTTCCAGACGCTGTGCCAGCAGGTGAGAGGCTGAGATGCTGTGATGCGATGTGATGTGATGTGATGTGATGTGATGTGATGTGATGTGATGTGATGCCATGCCATGCCATGGCATGTCATGCCATGCGACAATACGCGATTTTATACCATGCCATACCCATCCCATACCACGCCATGCCATTCCATGTCCTACCTCGCAATGCCACGCCATGCCATGCCATGCCCTGCCCTGCCTTTCCATGTCCACCTCGCAATGCCACGCCATGCCACGCCATGGCATGCCATGGACCAACCCAAACGCAGATTTTTGTCTGTCTGCAACTCCAACATCGTCACCTGCCCTGATCGCCCCTCTTACTTGAGCTTCTTTCTCCTTTCTCGCCTTCCCTCCTCCCTTTTCAGTCGACTCAATTGCCACCTCCCCCCTCCCCTTTCCAACTCTCTCCCCCTTCCCCAGGTCCCCACGTCTGTCTGCAACCCCAATTACGTGACGTGCCCCGAAGCATACGAGACAACGACTTCCCAAGTGAGCCCTGCATGGGCGGCGTGGGGCAGCAATGCTACCCTCGAGACGACGTGCTTCGAAGGCGATGGCACGTTCAACTTTGGCATCTACCACATGGCACTTCAACTCATGAAGGATGGGTCTGCTGTCGCCAAGATCTTCTACGGCCTCTTCTTCGGCATCATGACTCTCAGGTGATGCTGTGATTGCAATTCTGCTGCCATTCCTGGGGTGGGGGTTCAGCTCAGCAGCATGACAGCACCAACTTGGGCATCTACAGCATGGCGCTGCAACTCATGAAGGATGGGTCTGCTGTCGCCAAGATCTTCTACGGCCTCTTCTTCGGCATCATGACTCTCAGGTGCGAGTCCCTCGAGATGTGAGAGTCACACTCCATGAAGAGTGTGCCTGTGGGGAAGGGGGCATTCAGCGTTGCTGCGTTGGCAACTACCGCAAATCCATTCTTCATGAACATCTAACGGTGGTTGCGGTAGTTGCGGTAGTTGCCAGCAATGCCTCTTCTACGGCCTCTTCTTCGGAATAGTGACACTAAGGTGATGCTTGTAAGGTAAACGCTACCACTGGAACTTCATTGCTCGTCCATTCTCCCCCCACCTCCTCTTTCCCCCTCCCCCCCCCAACCCTCCATCTCCTTCAGCAATGCCTCCTTCCCCAGCACAAGCTTAGTGCAAACCATCCCAGCACCCTCCCCCCTCCCTCCCTTCCTCCCTACCCCTCATCTTCTCCGCCTGCCCCTTCCTTTGCCTCCACACGTCCCTCCCAACTCCCCTGAACCGCTCTCAGCTCCTTTGGAAACGCCCTCGTCCCCAGCACCAACTTTGTGGAAACCACCTTCGCGGTCATCATGGTGCTGTCAGGTCTCATGCTCTTCACTCTGCTCATCGGGAACATTCAGGTATGTGTGTTGTGCTAATGATACTTCTTCTTAGTATCGGAAGCACCTTAGTCGGCAATAGTCTACTTGCTATCGCCTATCGTGTTCTCCACGATCTCCCGAATCCAATGATATGCGCAGCTCTGCTTGAAGTTGTCAATACACACTTCAGCAATTTTCAGAATCTGATTGGTATGATTTCCAGAATGAGTACAAGCAGTTTTATAGTCAGGCAAGACACAAAATGCGATTCGTAACTTCACTTGTTTCCCAAGTAACCGCGTGCGCCTCGTTTCACCCTGAGTCGCACACACAACCGAACCGAATTCGGTGAACACTCCGCAAGTCCGAATCCCGAACTTTCTCGAGCGCGCCTTGGTCTCGAAGCACATTTTTCCCCTCGTCAAACTCATTCTCGATGCTTCTCCTTCTCTCTCCCTCCTTCTAGCACATTTCTTCTCGATTTCTCTCCCGCTTCTCACGCCATAGCCTCTATTCCCCACCGTAGGCCGATTTCCACCGTTTCACACACGCGCTTCCATTTCGCCGTCATTCCGCCGTCGTAGATGCTTTTGCCTTAGGTTTCGTGGTTGGGCGAACCAACCCTAACAATCTCCCCTGTGGTTCGTCAACCACGAACACCACTCGCACTGCTCCCATGCTCCTTGTAGCCTTCACAGGGTCTAAGTCGGCTTCACGCTCCCCTGCAGCTCCTGCACCTTGAACCTCTGCTTACGTGTCTTGTAGTTGAGCGCCTTGACATCCAAACCTTGAGAGATTTTCTTATGCCTCTCGCTTCTCCTCGGCATCTTTACACCCAACACCTCTCGGGTCTCGTACCCTTCAACGCGTTCATCCTCCTTAAGCACTTGCCCCTTTGCAGTTGCATTCGCCTTTGATCCTTTCACCATGATGTCCCCTTTCACAGCTTCAACTCCCACACACTTCGCATTTACTGCTTCATCTTCAACCACGATCGCTGCTGCAAAAGTGTTGACATCGTCTCCATCTCCACCGTTTACTGCTGCTGCCTCCGTGATCACTATCTCCTCTTCCTGCTTCACTGCTGCCTCCACACTCGCTCCCGTATCATCCGTGTCCTCGCTCTTATCAACCTTAGTCAATAACTCCTCCAGTTGTCCCATCGCACCATACTCAGGATCCTCATAGATCTCATCCGTATCATTCGTCGCGACCAAGTTCATCTCATAGAACCCGTCACTGAAGTAACCATCAGCATACTTCTCCCACTCAGGACCAAACACAGTCACCTCACCACTGTCATAGAATATCTTGCACCCCAAGTCATCAAGCTGTGACTGACTGACCAGATTCACCTTTAAATCCTCAACCAGCAGCACATTCTCCTGTCTCATCTCTCCATACGGACTCTGCAGCACCACGTCACCCTCTCCTGTCACTGGTAACTTCCCACTGTTACCTTGTAGTATATAATCCTCACTCGACTCCCTCACATTCTCCATCCAATCTGACCTGAATGTCATGTGACGCGTGCATCCGCTGTCCATGAACCACGCCCTCTTCTCACGTCCATCTGTCTGAGCCTCCTTCGGTAAACGCACCACGTTCGCGAGATGCGCTCCTCCCAAAATCACATCATCTTCGTTCGCTTCTGCTACATTCGCCTTTGCCACCACATTCCGCTGCTGCGACGGACCCTTGTAGCTCATGCTATTCGGGTTGGAGTAGTACTCTGCGGCACGATGCCCGTAACGCCCACAATAATCACACTTGCCGCCAAAACCTCGTTTCTGCTGCCACTCCGCTCTTGCATTTTCTCCTTTATCATTCTCCACAGCTTAGCCCTTGTAGTTTCTGCTTCGAGGATTTTCGTAGCAGTTTATCGCTTTATGTCCCCTCTTTCCACACTGGTAGCATGCTCCAAACGCCTTCGTGGCATTCACCATACCCGGCCTCTCCTCGTCGAATTCCTTAGCTGCTGCTGCTGTTTTCTTCTTTCTCATCTCCTTAACCGTCTCAAGTGACTGTAGAATCTCCTGCAGCTTCATCAAACTCTCCGGCGGTTGGTACGTAAACATACCGATGTCGGATTCCCACTCCTTAGGAAGGCCTTGGATGATATAGTCAATCATCTCATGCTCCGTCTCCGCGGCTCCCATCACCCGCAAATCGTCGTTGTAGCTTTTCGCCCTGTTGATGTAGGTGATGACTTTCTCGCCTTTCTCCATGCTCAGCATAAGCAGTTGTTTCCTAATCGCCTTCTTGTTGACATCGTTGGTGCCCATGTATGTGGACTCCAGGTACTCCCACGCTTTCTGTGCAGAGTTCAGCTCCCCTGCAAACTGGTCCAAATCCACCGCGATTCCATCGGCAACTGAATGACAAAGTTGAAAGAAAGCTTGCTTACTTTGCTTTTTGAACGCCGTTGTTTTCTCCTTCGTATCCGTCGCGGAAGGCGCAACTCCCTCCATCGTCTCCTCGTCGGGACGGTAGTACGACAAGAGGTCCACCTCCTCTGCCCTTCGAATGAACTTCTTTCGCCACACGTTGTAGTTGCTTCCATTGAAGCGCTGAGCTTCACTGAGCCCGATCGTCGGTTTCGCCACCAATCGGCCACTCGCAAGGGCCTCGAGAAGAGCCTTCAACTGCGGGTCTCCAAGACTTACACTGGAACCCGAACTCGCCTCGTCTCCCATAGCGTAGGCGTGAACGACTCCTCTTCACTAATTTCACTTAGCGCACCAAGTGAATTCACGACGATCGACGAGCCCGTTCGTCAAGCTCTGATACCAGTTCTTAGTATCGTAAGCACCTTAGTCGGCAATAGTCTACTTGCTATCGCCTATCGTGTTCTCCACGATCTCCCGAATCCAACGATATGCGCAGCTCTGCTTGAAGTTGTCAATACACACTTCAGCAATTTTCAGAATCTGATTGGTATGATTTCCAGAATGAGTACAAGCAGTTTTATAGTCAGGCAAGACACAAAATGCGATTCGTAACTTCACTTGTTTCCCAAGTAACCGCGTGCGCCTCGTTTCACCCTGAGTCGCACACACAACCGAACCGAATTCGGTGAACACTCCGCAAGTCCGAATCCCGAACTTTCTCGAGCGCGCCTTGGTCTCGAAGCACATTTTTCCCCTCGTCAAACTCATTCTCGATGCTTCTCCTTCTCTCTCCCTCCTTCTAGCACATTTCTTCTCGATTTCTCTCCCGCTTCTCACGCCATAGCCTCTATTCCCCACCGTAGGCCGATTTCCACCGTTTCACACACGCGCTTCCATTTCGCCGTCATTCAGCCGTCGTAGATGCTTTTGCCTTAGGTTTCGTGGTTGGGCGAACCAACCCTAACACTTCTTATAACGAGGATGTGTGTAGAAGCAACAGTCAGTCATCATGGTGCTGTCAGGGCTCATGCTCTTCACCCTGCTCATCGGGAACATTCAGGTATGTGTGTGCTAGAAGCGAATTCTGACTGTCATGCCATCTGTCTATCACGTGTCATCATGGTGCTGTCAGGGCAGGGCTCATGCTCTTCACGCTGCTCATTGGGAACATTCAGGTATGTGCTAAAAGCGAATTGCCTTATGACGGGGATGAGTGTGGAAACCACCTTCGCTGTCATCATGGTGCTGTCTGTCAGGACTCATGCTCTTTACTACCCTGCTGCTTGGGAACATTCAGGTGCGTGCATATGCTAATAACGAATTGTCTTGTAGTGGATATATCTGTGCTGTGTGTCATCATGGTGCTGTCGGGACTTATGCTCTTCACTCTGCTCATCGGAAATACACAGGTGCGCAGCGCATGTGCTTTCTAGTTGTAGCCAGGAAGGAGGGACCTCACCTGGTGGATGAACCGCCACCAGTTGCCGTGCCTGCCCCGTCAATCTCTCCCCACCCATCTCCACCCGCCCCATTTCGACCCTTTCCCCTACCCATCCCCTTCCCACACCCAGGTTTTTCTTCACGGCATCACTTCCTTAATGGAGGAGATGCAGCTGCGAAGGCAAGACCTCACCTGGTGGATGAACCGTCACCAGTTGCCACCTGCCCTTCCCATCCCCTACCCATATCCAGGTTTTCCTTCACAGCATCACCTCACGGATGGAGGAGATGCAGCTGCGACGGCAAGACCTCACCTGGTGGATGAACCGTCACCAGTTGCCACCTGGCCTGCAGCGGCGCGTGCTGAGGCAGGAGCAGCAGAACTTCACGGCCACCAGGGGAATTGATGAGGAGGGGCTCATTCGCAGCATGCCCAAGAGTTTGCGGCGAGATATCAAACGCCATCTGTGCCTTGACCTGGTCAAGCAGGTAGGAGGTGCCTTGACCTGGTCAAGCAGGTAGGAGGTGCCTTGACCTGGTCAAGCAGGTAGGAGGTGCCTTGACCTGGTCAAGCAGGTAGGAGGTGCCTTGACCTGGTCAAGCAGGTAGGAGGTGCCTTGACCTGGTGAAGCAGGTGAGATATAAGAGGGTAGGGCAAGGATAAGGTTGGAGAATCCACAGCATGCCAAGAGCCTGCGACGAGATATCAAACGACACCTGTGCCTTGACCTGGTCAAGCAGGTGAGATATTAAACGACACCTGTGCCTTGACCTGGATGCAGCATGCGAACGAATCAAGCTGACAGGACTCTTGAATTGACTCAGAAGTTGCGCTGTTCTCTTCTCCTGTCTGTCCATCCCCCAGGTGCTGTTATTCCAAGTCGGGTGGAGTCTGCTCTGCTGCTCTGGATGCTTTTACGTGTGCGAGCGACTCATTCCTTGATGGCTCATGTGCCACTATGGCTCATGTGCCACTATGGCTCATGTGCCACTAATCCATCTCCCCATTTGTCGTGATTCTCCTACCTTTTCCTTGTCCCTCTTCACGGGTGCCGCTATTCCAAGTGGTGGACTCAGCAGCGCTGGATGCAGTGTGCGAGCGACTCAAACCAAGGTGACTCTTGAGCTGCTGTTCTCTCATCTAGGTGTCGTCCTCTCCTCTCCCATCTCCTCCTTTCACCCCCTCAGGTGCCGCTATTCCAAGTGGTGGACTCTGCAGCCCTGGATGCAGTGTGCGAGCGACTCAAACCGCTCATTCTCATTCATGGGACAGAGGTGAGCTGGTATGCTTGCACAGGTCCATGCTCGTACCTGCACACATGCACACATGCACGCATGCACACATGCACCCATGCACACTTGCACACATGCACCCATGCACGCTTGCACACATGCACCCATGCACGCTTGCACACATGCACCCATGCACGCTTGCACACATGCACCCATGCACGCATGCACACATGCACATATGCAGACATGCACACATGCACACAGGCACACATACACACATGCACACATGCACACATGCACACATACACACATACACACATGCGCACATGCACACATGCGCACATGCACACATGCACACATGCACACATGCGCACATGCACACATACACACATGCACACTTGCACACATGCACACATGCACACAGGCACATGCACACATGCACACATGCTAACATGCACACATGCGCACATTCGCACATGCACACACACACATGCACACAGGCACATGCACACAGGCACATGCACACATGCACATGCACATGCACATATATGTCCATCACGCTTCCATCCTGCATCCATTATACGTCTCCTTTCCCATCGGTCCATGCACACACCCACCATGAGTCACGACCATCACGTCTGGTGAGGCAGGGTGAGCTATCCTCCTTGTACATATGCTATCCATGCAAGTTGCATTTTTGAGTCGACTCAAATGAGCCGTGTTTTGAGTCGACTCCAAGTGAGGCAGGGTGAGCTATAATCCTTGTACGTAACCATGCATTATGCAGTTTCTTACTTATTGCATCCTCTCGTCCCGTTGTCCATTTCTCCATTCACTCATTCGTCCCTTTGTCCTCACCTTTCCACCTGTGTCCGTCCACCCATCCTGTCTATGCATGCATGCATGCATGGTAGATCGTGCGACAAGGCGAGCCTGTGTGCATGATGCTGTTTCTCATCCGCGGCACCATCCGCAGCACACATACCATGAGCCATGGGACCGCCAGGTGAGTGTATGTGCATGCATGTGCATGTAGGTACCATCCGCAGCACAGCACACACACCATGAGCCATGGGACCGCCAGGTGAGTGTATGTGCACCACACACAGTACAGCGTACACACCCACCATCCACAGCACACATACACCATGAGCCATGAGACTGTCAGGTTTCTGTTTGCATGTGGATGGAAGCTTGTGAAGCGAGGATACACACGCACACCATCCAAAGCACACGCACACACTCATGCACCGTTTGCAGCCGAGATGTATATGCGTGTTCTTGTTTGTATGAGCTTGCATGAAAGCCTGCCTCTTACCGCCCTCTCCCTTCCTCCTCTCCCTTCCTTTTCCATTCCCTCTGCTCCCTCCCTCACCCTTTTCACTCCCAATCTCCCCCTTTTCCCCTTTCCATCCTCCCTCCCCCGTCGTACCTCCCTCGCCCTCCCTTCCCCCCCCCCCCACTTCCCCCTCAGCTCGTGTCTCATCCGGGATGGAAGCTTCTGTGGGGACGAGCTGCTCTCGTGGGGCTTGGCCCACTCCCCAAACACCAGCCAGCTAGCCTCCGCTACTGCCTCGCTCTCCCTACTCCCCTCCCCATACTTCCCCCCCTTACCCCTCAGCTCGTGTCTCATCCGGGATGGCAGATTCTGAGGGGACGAGCTGCTCTCGTGGTGGCTGGGCCAGTCCCCAGACACCAACCAACCAGCTAGCCTCTGCTGCTGTCACACCAACCTCTGTGTGCTCTCCCTTTCATCCATCTGCCCCCATTCTCTTCAGCTCGTGTCTCATCCGGGATGGAAGCTTCTGTGGGGACGAGCTGCTCTCGTGGCGGCTGGGCCACTCCCCGGACACCAACCAGATTCTAAGGCGTGCCCCGCCATCCATCTGTCCCACCTCCCCTTGGAGCTCCTGCCTCATCCGGGATGGGTATTTCTGTGGCGAGGAGCTGCTCTCGTGGGCTCTAGGCCACTCTTCCATCCAGACACCCACCAGCTAGCCGCTGCCGCCGCTGTCACACCCACCTCTGTGTGCTCTCCTCGCCTCCCTTCTCCCATCCCTTGCAGCTCCTGCCTCATCCGGGATGGCTATTTTTATGGAGAGGAGCTGCTCTCATGGGGCCTAGGGCAATCCCCTGACACCAATCAGCTGCCCTCCGCTACAGCCACTCTCACCACAGTCACAGCTGTGGAGGGCTTTGTGCTGGAAGCAGAAGACCTTCTGTTTGTGACAACGCACTTCAAGGTAATCACAGGGAAGGTTTCACAGCAAGCAGCAAAAGACCTGCCTTCCTGCCTGCTTGCCTTCCTCCGCATTTCAACTGGAAGAGCCAGCGCATTCAGCGGTGGGTGCACTACTAGTCGCCTTAAGTTGACTGAACATTGCTTCACTCCTTCCCTGCCTCCCCCCTTCCTTGCCTGCTTGCCTGCCCCTCTGCCCCCTTCCCCTCATTTCAACTGGAAGATTCAGCGCATTCAGCGGTGGGTGCACTGCTACTCGCCACACTGGTGAGCTCCGGTGGTGCTTCAATCATTGTCTACCCCCCCCGTCTACTTCTCTCTATCCCTCCCTGCCCGCAGTTCAACTGGAAGAGTCAGCGCATTCAGCGGTGGGTGCACTACTAGTCGCCTTACAGTTGACTGGTCAATTCCTTCACTCCTTCCCTGCCTCCTTCCTTCCTTGCCTGCTTGCCTGCCCCTCTGCTCCCTTCCCGTCAGTTCAACTGGAAGAGCCAGCGCATTCAGCGGTGGGTGCGCTACTACTCGCCGCACTGGCGCACATGGGCGGCTCTCACCATCCAGATCGCGTGGCGCCGCCACGTGGCACGACAGCACGCCACGTCACTGCAACGGTCGCTCGATGCTCATGCTGACGTGGATGTGTGCGGTGGCCAGCTCACCACTGATACTCCCTCGGGCGCTCCTCCTGCATCTGCTGCCACTGCCCCTGCCCCTGTCCCTGTCCCTGCCACTGCCACTGCCACTACCATTGACACTCCCACCACTGCCCCTATCAGTAGCACAGCCCCTTTGGACCCTGCTCTAACTACAACAGCTACCGAGCAAGGGAGGGGGATACCAGGAGATAACGGTGGGGGTGGGACAAGGTTGGGCCGCCCGAGGATGGATGTAGACGAGATTGAGGCTCTACAGAGGCGTGACCGCATGCGGCTGTATAATGCAATTTTCTCATCGCCCAAGCCCCGCGGCTCTATGGACAAAAATCCCTAGCTACATAGGCGAAGAACTAGCTGTTTCCCATATTGCATGTTGGCACTGGCATTGCAAGTCTGACAGCACATGAGTTTGTGTTTTTTTGAACTGTGTTACGGGTGCAATGAATCGAAGTAGCGTGAATTGCACTAAGGTGTCAAACGAGTACAAAATGTGAGCGAAGGCATGAGCGAACATTTATACACGAAACATGCAAACGGTAACGCGGTGCGTGCGAGCTAGCTAGTGCTTCGCTGGAAGCGAGGCTCGGGCTAGTCCGGAAGCGTAGGCCGACACGGCCGGTCCAGCAGTGCGAGGTTTGGGAAAACAGTGCGCGCGAAGTCGGCGAAGCCCCGTTAGCAATAACGGGCGAACAACGGCTGCTGCTGTACGCGATGCTGCAGGGTGCGCTAAGGAATATCGAGAAAATTCCTTACACTACCCCTCCCCCTTCAAGAAGCCCCCTCCGCTACGCGAGTGCGTGTATATCGCGGAAGCCCCGGCTCCTCAGGTACACTTGTAGGGCAGGATGGTTTTTTATGTTGGCTAGGGGCACCCAGCTATCCTCAGTTTGCGTGCGATCCTTCCAGCGAACGAGGAATTCAATCGGTGTCGAATCCGATGGCTCAGGATTTTTTCGGGCTCGATGATCGGCTCTAATGCAGGGCGAGTCATGGATGGCGGGTGGTGGCGAGGCAGTTGGCTTGTGGTTGGGATGTATGGGCGAAGCAAGCTGATGTGGAATGAAGGGCTGATGTACCAGTCCGTCGGCAACAGTAGGTGAGCTGTTACTGGGGTAGTCATGTGGCTGATTTGGAATGGTCCACAGTAGCGGGGTCATAATTTTGGTACGACGGGCAGTCTTAAGTTTTGCGTGTCGAGCAGTACATAATCTCCTGACTGGTACGTGACTGGGCGGCGATGGCGGTCAGCGTTCTGCTTAGCGATGACGTTGGCTTTTTTATTGCTTCTGCGGCTCTGGTGCGGGTAGCTTGTAGAATTTCGGCAAATTGCTGTGCACGTGGTGTTGGGTTGTCCGGACTCGGCGTCATGGGCACTGTAGGGTTTTGCCCGTAGTTCAGGTAGAAAGGGGACTGCTGCGTCGTCGCTGACGTGGCGTTGTTGTACGCGAACTCGATCAGCGGCAGCTGCTGCTCCCAAGTGGTCGGGTCGTCGCACGTGGCACGAATTAACTGCTCCATCGTCTGATTCGTCCGCTCCGTTTGACCGTCGGTCTCGGGGTGGTACGACGAGCTGAACTGTAGCCTTGTCCCGAACTGCTCCCAGAGGTTTTTCCAGAAGTTGCTGGTGAACTTCATGTCGCGGTCGTTGATTATCGCGGCTGGTATCCTGTATAGTCGAACGACGGCTGCAATGAATAGGCGAGCGGTTTCTTCGGTTGAGATCGATTTCTTGCACGCAGCGAAGCGTGCCATCTTCGTCAACCTGTCAACGACGACCATAACTGCGTCGTTATCCCCAGGGTTCGAAGGTAACCCTGTGACGAAATCCATGGTAACCTGCTGCCAGGCGCGCTCATGCGGTGGAATCGGCTGCAACTGACCCGCCTTTCTTTTTCGCGAGCTCTTCATCACCTGACACGTAGGACACGAGCCCACGTGGTGCTGTACGTCACTCAACAGCTCCGGCCAGTATTAATACCGCTGTAGTTGCTGTCGCGTTTTTTCTACCCCGAAATGTCCCGAGGTAATCCCGTCGTGTGCCTCCTGCAGTAACAGTTCCCTCAGTAGTGAGTACGCGGGTACCCAGATACGGTTGGTGCCTGTTTTTACATAATAGACTCCTCTGGCCTCTGCCAGTTGCTGTGAATTTCCGGTCGTGAAAATGGGTCGGTACTATATCCGTGGGTGAATAGGCCTGTTAACAGTGGGTTGGTTTGGGCGAGTAGGATGGCGTGGAGTTGGGCGGTGGGGCGTGTGAGTGCGTCGGCGATGTTGGATGCGCCTTTTTTGTACGTGACCGTGTAGTGGAAATTTGGCTCCAGATAGTCCAACCAGCGAATCTGTCGTGGGTTGAGATTTGGTTGGGTGCGAAGGTACTGTAGGGATCGGTGGTCTGTCCGTACTGTCACGTCTGCTCCTATGAGGTAACATCGCCACACCTTGAACGCGTGCACGATCGCCAGCATCTCGCGATCGTGTATCGGGTAGTTGCGTTCGGGCGGGTGAAGCTTGCGAGACTCGTACGCGATTGGCTGAAGGCCGTTCCCGAAGTCCTGCAACAGTACTGCTCCCACAGCGATGTCGCTAGCGTCGGTGACGAGCTCGAACGGACGGTGCGGATCTGCGATATGAAGTAAGGGCGGTGAGCACAAAATAATTTTGAGGGCCGAGAAGGCAGCTTGCTCTTTCTCCCCCCACGTGTACTCAACCCCCTTCCTTAGCAGGTCAGTCAACGGGGCAATCAGCTTTGCCATGTCGGGGACGAACCGGCGCATGTAGTTGACGAACCCCAGAAAACTCTACAATTCGGTCAAGTTGGTCGGCGCGTGCCACGCTCGTATCGTCGCGATCTTTTTCGGGTCTATTTCCACTCCTGCGGCTGAAATAATGTGTCCCAAAAACTCCAGTCGGTCCTGTAAGGACTCACACTTAGACGCTTTTGTTAGTAGGCGGTTTGCACTCAGCATCTTAAAAACTACGTCAACGTCTTGTAAGTGCTGTGCTCTGTCGGGGCTGTAAATCAGGATGTCGTCTGTCAAACATATATGCTATAGTCTGTGTAGGCTGTAGTGGGGTAGACAATATGGGGTACAACACTTTTAGGTTTTCCTACTTGTACCCACCTGTTTCCCAGTGCATTCATTCCTCGTTATGTTCACATGGTATAGAGCAGGTTCCCTAGTGGGACCGTTTCTTCCTAAGGGCCCACCATTAATTTTTTTTTTCCTAACCTGCCCGAAGCGCGCCTTGCGCTCTGATCTGCCCTACCCTTTCGCGGCCCCTTAGTGGCCTGCCCTGCTCCTGAGGCCCGTCGCGCCCCCCCCCCCCTTTGCGGCCCCTTCGAGGCCCCTTAGCGGCCTCCCTTCGCGGCCCCTTCGCAGCCCCTTCTCGGCCCCTTAGCGGCCCCTTCGCGGCCCCTTCGCGGCCCCTTCACGGCCCCTTCGCGGCCCCTTAGCGGCCCCTTCGCGGCCCCTTCACGGCCCCTTAGCGGCACCTTCGCGGCCCCTTCGCGGCTTCTTCACGGCCCCTTAGCGCCCCCTTTGCGGCCCCTTCGCGGCCCCTTCGCGGCCCCTTCACGGCCCCCTCACGGCCCCTTCGCGGCCCCTTCACGGCCCCTTCGCAGCCCCCTCGCGGCTCCCTTCACGGCCCCTTCGCGGCCCCGCCCCGCTGCCCGTAGCGGCCCCGCCCTGTCGCCAGTCGCGGCCCCGCCCCGTCGCCAGTCGCGGCCCCGCCCCATCGCCAGTCGCGGCCCCGCCCCGTCGCCAGTCGTGGCCCCGCCCCGTTGCCCCTGCCTCGTCGCGACGCCTCAACGGGACCCGCGCGTCGCCCCCGCCTCGTCGCGACGCCCCTGCGGGACCCGCGAGGCGCGGCTCCTGCGCGTCGCGACGCCCCTACGGGACCCGCGTGGCGTCACCCCTGCCCGCCGCGGCGCCCTGCCCTAACCTGCGCCCTGGAGCAGCCGCCACTGCAGTAGCCGCCCCTCGAGCAGCCGCCCCTGCAGCAGCCGCCACTGCAGCAGCCGCCCCTGGAGCAGCCGCCCCTGCAGCAGCCGCCCTTGGAGCAGCCGCCCCTGAAGCAGCCGCCCCTGGAGCAACCGCCACTGCAGCAGCCGCCCCTGGAACAGCCACACCTGCAGCAGCCGCCCCTGGAGCAGCCGCCCTTGCAGCAGCCGCCCCTGGAGCAGCCGACACTACAGCACCGCCCCTGGAGCAGTCACCCCTGCAGCAGCCGCCCCTAGAGCAGCCGCCCCTGCAGCAGCCGCCCCTGGAGCAGCCGCCCCTGCAGCAGCCGCCCCTGAAGCAGCCGCCCCTGAAGCAGCCGCCCCTGGAGCAGCCGCCACTACAGCAGCTGCTCCTGGCGTGGCCAGATGCAGCTCCAGCGCCGTCCGCGTGAGTCCCTCGCCCCCCAACAGCTTCGTGAGTGGTACGCTAGTTGGGGTTGTAGGGGTGGCCGCGCTGCAACTACTGCTATTGCTACTACTGCTGCTACTGCGGCTACCACTGCTCCTGCTGCTCCTGGCGGTGGCCAGATGCAGCTCCAGCGACGTCCGCGTGAGTCCCTCACGCCCCAGCAGCTTCGTGAGTGGTACGCTACTTGGGGTTGTCGGGGTGGCCGTGGTGGGAGTCGTCCTGGAGTGAGTAGTTCAGCAGCAGCTTGTAGTGGCCAGGTGCAGTTGCAGCGTCGTCCGTGCGCGGTCCTTTCGCCCCAGCAGCTTCGTGAGTGGTACGC